ACTTGGATAAATTTTTCGTCTTCCTTTTCCCGGCTATCACGCTCTGGGCTATCACGCCCNTTTAATGGTTTACTTTTGTTGCAAAAGAATAGGAGGAGATCCGATTACTGTTGGACATTGACATTGATTTCTGGAGCTATTGGCATGGGTTTTGTGTGATACCTAAGTCCGGGAATAATCTTAAAAATGCAGCAAGCAGGGGGGCTGTTGGATGTACTCACAGCATTGACAGATTATTGCAACCGAGGAACGTTCCGAGAAGATGGAGCGGGGAACTTTTGGGGTTCCGCAGTTGTGGTATATTGGGGGAATGGTGGTACCATCTTTGCCACATATTGTTGTTTCCTGGGTATACGTGTCTGCAACGGTGTTGACCACGTGCACTTGGATAAATTTCATCTTCTTTTTCCCGGCTATCACGCTCTGGGCTATCACGCCCGTGTCCACACATATCCACCGGCTATCACCCTGCCAGGCTGTCACTCCTCTAGGCTATCACGCCATCACAACAGCTATCACAGCACCAGCTTCAACACATCAGAGCCATCACGCTCCGGAACATCACAGATGCGGCGGGTTACCACATCCGCGGGCAGTTTACTGTATTTTATCGTTGCCGGCAAACTCGCCGCGCGGTTCTTTTATTTTTGCCGTCTACAACTGCGCCGGGCGCACCAAGCTACTCAACATGGGTGACGATGGCAGCAGCCAACCACAGCCAACGCCGCATGGCTCTGCTGGCTGCAGAGGGGTGTGTTCCCGACCAGGGGGGCAAAAACCAGCTCGGCCGTTGACGGGAGATTCCAATTTCTCCGCGTCAATTGGTTGGGTGATATTCGCGACGGACACGATGTGGCACACTCTATTGTTTAACAATAGAAGCACCCGTTCGGTCGTCGGAAATTATTTACCAATAATAGGTTTCTCTTGAGCAATACGCCGAATAATTTTCTTTGGGTGAACATTGTGATTGGATGTCCTGACAGTAGATAACATTTCCGGGGAATTCGTTCCGGTTTTGGGCGGTCCGCCGGATTCGTTGACAATGCAACGCAGCCAAAGGAGGGCAACACATAAGTTCGACAAGTCACTTGACTGGTCGAAATTATGTGTCGCCTAGTCTTTCATCAAGTAATTGAACTCGAATTTCGGCCTCTCGGTTGACCGTTTTTGGCACCGTCTCGGCGTCCGGGTGGCGAACCAATAACACCACACCTGAAGCAGCAGTAGTAGTAGTAGTAGAAGAGCGCGATCACGCCGATCGCTGACAACAGCAGCGACAACTACCGAGGACAGGCGGCGCGCTAGGCGGCGGCCGTGCTCTCGCGGTCCACATCAGGGCTGTACTTGCCACCCAGAGATCCACCCAGAGATAGAGAGAGGGAAGGCGAGCGCAGAGAGCGACGAACGGGCCGTATAGCGAGGTGAGAGTCACGCTCCGCGTGCATTCCTCGCGGAAGTCTAATCTTGCCGTTTTGGACGCGCTGGCACTGAGTTTGCCGTGTGTCTCGATGCAGCAAATGTCGCCTTTGTTGCAGGCACACGTCGAGCACACCTGTGCGTGTGTATGTAGATACGAACACAGCTGTCTGTGCGCCTGGGCCATGCCATCGGGCATGGCCAATGCTGTGTGCATGTATGGGCACGTCTTTACATCATGCATCAAGAAAGACGAGTGTCTCGTGTGTGACTCTTGCGCGGTCGAGGTAATCGATCTCTCTCGTAGTCGTTGTCGCCTCCGTAGGTACTCCTTCCTTTCAATACATGCATGTCGCGAGACTAGACTACTACCGAGTCCTGTACATGTAGAATACGGACAAGTCTTACAGCAGACGGTAGCTTTGTAGTCTAGTCTCTAGAGTTTAAGCTAAGTGTAGATGACAGACAGCACCTACCTGTAGACTATGTACCTCATCATGTGTAGTATGTATGTATACCCAAACCTCACATGCATCTTTCTCTTTAAAACCTGCTGCTGTTTCGCGTGCCACTGCTACAATACCGTGTCCGTGTTTAGACTTACATATACAGGCGTAGTCATCTTACAGACGCGGCCCTTCCTCCATCCTGTCGCTGTGTGTATGTATGTATGTATTGCATTAGACGAATTGGTTGCCGCAGGACATGTCATCACATACTCCGATCGCCGGGGTGAAGGATGGGCTCAATGGCGTGCTGGCACAACACTATCTTGGCACGTTTGACATCCCTGTCACCAACGTCAACATAATTGGGCGTCCCATAGCAACGTCAGGGGTAAGGATCATAACGGAGTCCATGAAGCAAGCCCGCGGATTCTTGCAGCAGCACGCCATCTTGGCTATGGTTGAAGCATCGAATGTACCCGCCGGCGGGCTGAGTGCGGCGGCAGCCGCGAAGCTCCAATTACGGATTCTGGACGGCGCGCACAGGACGCACTGTGCTCTGCAGCTGTACGGCGGAGAGTTCATCATCCCCTGTCGCATCTATACCGATTTCAATCCGCTGGAGGAGGCCGTCGTCGCCTCAGGTAAGCAAGGAATGTGCAACAAAAGCAATATATCCGTAGGTGTTGCCCCCCCCCCCCTCCGATTGAAGAATTTGTACAGAGGGGTATGCGGGGGCTCCGGCCCATGTGCGGTGTGACTGCTGCTGCTACAAGCTACAAGATCTACGTACAATTATCCGACCTGTACCTACATGTACCTCACCAGCAGCGCCTGTTACATGTTGCCACGTCCAGGCTTGAACAACGTCGCGCAGGCTCTGGTCCCCCGTGGCGTGTTCGACGATGTTTTCTTCATGAACCAGCTCCTCGATGGCTTCAGGAAGATGCAGGGTTCGCTTTTCCCATCTGCTAAGATGATCCAAGACGCGTACGTAAAGGTGCGTTCCGGGGACCCCCATCAGCTAGATAGACGCTGATGATGTTGGCAGGAAAGTCGTCCTCCGTCTTCACGCCTCTGTTCGTGATGCCGTCGCAAAATACGTTGTGATGATCCTAACCCTCTCTGCGGAGCTCGCCTCTGGTGACGATCTGTTGTCGGAACGCAGGGGGGTCTCTCTCCACCTAGCCAATCAACCGTCCGCCGCCATAAGGCTGCCGTTAATTGTCTGACGACGGAAGGATTCCAGGCGCTGCAGCGGATCCAAGAGAGATCTCACGAAGACCCCTCCATCCACATGGCGTCCCTTACGTGGACCACTCTCAGCCACAGCGCGTTTGGTGAAGCCGGTCAGACCAGTGGTGCGATTCAAGCTCTTATGCTCGAACACATGGTTAGGTGAGCATTGAGTTGGCCGGCCGTACAAGACACGCATGCGTGTGGCAAAGTACCTAGCCTTAATCCCTCACCACAAACGTGAAACACCCGTGATTCTGGTCAGATATCCCGAGCCTCCCGAATTATCTGAGGCTGTCAATGTGTGTCTGGTACGGCTTTCATTTGTGCGCGAGGTTCTTCGACGCCTCCACCACCACCCCCACCCTCTCCGCCAGGTTCCGCTCCTCATCCGACAACTCGAAGGCGCTAACGGGCGATGATGTACCTGACGTCGCCAAACTCGCTCACGATGCACATGACTTCATGGAACGGACTGAGGCGGCATTCGGCGCTCGTAGCGAGTGGTCCCCCGAGCTCGCAGTGTGAGTGATAACGTCGTATACCACACGTCATGTAGCATTACAAGGCGTCATGTCGGCACACTAGGCCCGTAGCAGTTAGCCGCGAAGGCGTGACAACTGTTTTTTCTTCCACTCAGCCAAAGACCTTTTTTTTCCTTGTTCTTGCCGCGGCTCATCGTTCGATAGGCTGGTAGAAAAGTACGCCTACGTCCAGTCAGGCGCTCTCGAGACAATTGTCCGCCCATGGATGAAAAAGCGGGATGACGAGGCGAACGAACTCAGCAGCAAATTGCCCGGCGACCGACGTTTGTCCGACGACCACTTCCACGTCATCTCCGCCGCGAAACCCCTCGGCTGCATCCACAAGGTACCTACCCAGGATTATATGCCCTGTTATGTGTTGCGTATTCCCTCCTGTTTTTTGGCAGCGCTGTGCAAGAAGCGCTGTGCAAGAGAAGGCGTCTTTTGTCTTTGGACGACTATCGAGTGTGAGGAGTACAGCGACTTAACCACTGCGTTTCTCGTCCCATATGGCGGCCGATTCGTTTGCCGGATGAAGCAGGCTGCCACCAAGAGTAAGACAGAACCGTCGACAACCCACTACGAGACATTCCAGAAGCGGTTTCAGGAAGTCATGCTCGCCTACAACATTTCCGAGCTCGTCGCCGACACTTCATCCAGTCAAGGCTCGACGGAGGGCGACAATGGAGTTGAGGCGACGGGGACTGGCGTCAGAAGCGGCGCGGGGGGCGGGGAGGAAGGCGAACAAACCTCTGACGGAGAAGATGGGGATGTTGGGGGCGGAGAGGACGGAGACTTCGGAGACGGAGAGGGAGACATGGATGAAGAGGGTGCGGGTGATGAGGGAGGAAACGGCGAAGATTACGACACCACCCCGCGGACCGGAAATGTAAAGGGGAAGCGGAAGGGGAAGCGGAAGGGGGAAGGAGAAGGCCAAAGGACAGGAGAAGGACAACGAAGGCACGGTGGTGAAGGCCGGGCAAGCGAGTCGGCGCAAGTCCACCGGTCACGGAGGGCTGCTGTTGACGCCGGCGACTGTTGAAGACGTGGAGGAGTGCATGTGAGTAGCCAAGTAAATAATTACAAACACGGGGCGGGTGCGGGGGGGTCCGTGGTGGCGTCGCTCTCGGTGCTTTCTTCACCGTGAACGTGGGTGTCGATCTGACCCTTGTCTTTTGTGTACCGTCTCTCCTTTCTCCCGCGGTAGTCTTGCCTGTATCTGCGACCCTGCATCAAACATTAGGTGTTGAATCTGTGTCTTGACGCCGTGCCACTCTTCCGTCAAGAATCCTTGTTGCGACATGGGCATGCTCGATGTTCGTATGACCCGGCAACACCAGCCTTACACCAACATTCTCCACCGCATTCCAAGGGCGCAAAACTTCGTCGTGCACGAGGAGTACAGCCTGCTCGATATGGATCGCGATGAGCAGGCTGCCATCGACCTCCGCAGACGGGCCAAGTTGGTCTTGCTCAACGTCGGCGCATTCCAGGGGTGTAAGGCCGACGACGACAGGCTCGCAGACCTCATCTACAATGTCCGGCACAGCATGATATGCCCGCGGGGAACATGGCTTTTCTGGTCCCCCATCCGTGGTTCGAGAATGGACACCACCTGCAAGGTGAACCCGCAGACTTGAATAACCTACCCAAGTGATTGGTCGAGTGCGCAATCTCGAGCGCGTGACAACGTGCAGGTCGTGTTCATAAACCCTTCACGTGTCCCTCACGTTGACAAGTCTGATGCGCTTGCAGAAGAGATAGGGTAGAGAAACCACTCACACCTTTCCGAGACGCAGATCGCGAGTGAGTCGCGAGTTGTCAGCTGGCAATGTTTACCTTGAGTTCCTCGGCGTAAATTGTTGGCCTCCTGATTGCATGGGTTGCT